ATATATATGGAAAAAGCTCCTGTCAGCCGATGGGATGATGGAACAGTGTAAACCCAATAGCCTAAATTGAATTGAATTTGGGTTGATCCAATGAACACAATTGAATTTTAATTTTTTTTTCTACAAATCCAAATCACTTGAAATTTGGAGCATATATTCTTCAAAAATAGTGGAATCTAATAAAAATATCAAAAAAAAAAAACTCGTATAATTAAATTGACCAAAATACCACTGAAAAGTTCCAGTGGTATTTTGATCAATTTATTGTATGCGAATTATTTTTTTAATATTTTTATTAGGTGCACCTTGATGAGAAGAGTTAATGCTTCAAATTTCATGTTATTTGAATTTATACAAAAAATATTAAAATTATATTACCAAAAACAGTTCTGACTGTCAGATCGGCCTAGATTTAATCTGGGCTGTTGGGTTTATACCATTCCATTAGCTAGTGGGCTGACCCTAGCATCTTCCTATATATATATGAAGCCACTACGCAACACCTATGGGCGAAAATGAACAGTGTTTTCGCCCATAGGCTCGGCACCGCCAAATTTTTTCAAACGGCGTGGATAAATCGACCGCACTGGATAATGCTACGTTTGTTGTTGTCCGGTGCAGTCGATTTCTCACACGAAAACACGGGAAACCGCAACGGCTCTATGAGAGCTGTTGCAACATTCAGGCAAAACCACAACGGCACTACGAGAGCCGTTGTGGGGCAAAACACTATTCATTTTGACCTATTTTCAGACCTTTCCAGATATATATATATATATATAGATAGTAATAAAATTGTGATGGGGACATTTATTCTGTTAATGGCCAAACAAGAAAATCGAGGTTATGTATTCTAATGACCCCTTCTCTTGCCAAAAAGGTTGGCTCACACCATACATATTAAAAATGACACGTTCAGGTCCAAGCAAAGCTCCAAAATCTCCTTGATTCTCCAAGGATATAGACATTAGAGGCCCAAGAGATTACATTTGACAAATCTCCCCCAATAAGTAGTAAGCTTCATCTCCAGTTGAACAAATTGATTCCATTTGTGGTCGTTCTTGAATGTTTTGCATGGAAGACTCTTAGTTTTCTCCTTGCCATATGGACCTAAGAGTGCAATAACCCTAGGATGCCAGCAATGCGTGGTAGTGGAAGAGAAACCAAGTCTTAAATAGCAAATCCTACCGATGCTCGATAGACTCGAAATAAATCAAAATAGTCACAAGAAGTAATACGCATATGGAAGGCAATCTTACAGTGGAGAAAGAGATGCTGGACTGATTCATGAAGAGATATCAAATGTTGAAGTAGGTCATTAAGCAAGTACATCCATGTCCTGCAGTTACTGGGTAAACTGATGGAAAGTATAGACAATTGTCAAATTGTAACAAGCAGAGAACCAGTTATACATTTAAACAACCTAAGATTCTCCTTGAGCAAAATGGGCTAAACCACAAAAGGTCTTACAATGTATCTTGTGAAATTCAGCACGGGAGTAGTAACTGTAAAAGTTGCCCACCATGGTTAAAGTTTCATTTGGACAACTTTGGGTCATCGTATTGAAAAGTATTTAAGCCAAGACGCATTGGCTCCATCTTGTATTTGACCAAATATGTTTACAGGAAGTTTCATGTTCTGCTGTGTAGGTTAGTTTTAGTTCCTCTGCATTTTCAGACTGGCAACAGATGATGAATTTATGGTTTCCACTTCTCAATGGAAACATAATAACTCATTTCTGCATGACCATCTCCAGTTTACCATTTGCAAAATTTGTCATAGAACATACAGAACTAGTGTTACATTGACAATGACAGAGGTGTCATGTGTAATACATATTTCAGATATCTTGTACTTCCGCCCAAATGCTCAGTACAGACCTGACATGTCCGGACAACCTTTTATATAACAGATATATAAAAAATAAAAAAATGTCAAAATATAACTTACATACATTAAAAATATATATAAAAATCAAAAATATAAATTATATTTTATACAAGAAAAATAAAATCATATTCTTCTGTTCACCAAAATTAATATTTTCATAATGCATGTCATACATAATTCACAGTTTTGTTAGTAGAGACATTTATAATTTGATATTATTAGAAGGATGCAGATTGAATTCAACAAAATGCAATTTATATTTTAGAATATAAATCATGTTTAAATTTCAGAGACTCTTTGTGGGACAATCTTAATATGGTAATAGCATTATAATAAATGTATTTTTTTTTATTTGAGTCATGTTTGATAATATTTGAATAGTTTCACTTCTCTCCTCCAATATGTTCATATTTTAGTTTAAGTCACCACCATCTAATATATAAACAATTATTTGTTCACAAAACACATATAAGCACTCTGTGCAGTGATAGCTAGTAATATCTCACTTTAACACATCGCAGGTTCCAATTCTACCCTTGGCATTAATTTTGAAAATGCAATTATAAGACATTTCAAAAAAGGTAATCCAATTAAAAGAACAACTCATAAGTATTCCTCATAAGTATTCCATCTCACGCCCTTCTGCGTCAAGAACGACCATGCTACTATGGGGGCAATGGGCCTGTTAGTGTATAAAATAATGACAACACTTCTATATGAAGTGTCAACACATACTAAATATCAGTAGAATGGCCCAACATGTACAGTCAACTTATCATGTCCATTTCTACACATGTTGACCATGTCTACGTGCCAATACATGTTGACATGGAAAAGAATGTGATACATGAAGTGCCCAGGTAATACCGGAAATAAACTCTTCTCAACCACAAAACATCTGACAACTCAGCAGGGAGCTGCATATTGACAACAAACTTTTTGAAGCATCCATACACATTCGTTGCAATTTGTAAAACTAGCCAATCATTGGATTTAATTGCTGCACAAACGACTCAATCAAAAAAAAAAAAAAACCGACTCAACTAGTAATAATTAAAAATTTGAATACAAATTATCAAGATTGCTTGAGACAGGCTAATCTGTAATAATTGAAAGTTGAAATGCTTGCTTTTATGAATTCGAATTTTTCGTACATTTAGGCTGCCTTTGGGAAGGGATATTTAATGCCATAAATACAATAGCTGAAAGAATCCTAGGGAGGTCAACATTGTGGACTATGCCATCATTCAATAGGACGGACATTCCAAATGCAACTTTTTATCCCCATTTTGAAATACATATGAAAAGAACCCTTGACCCCTTTTCCTTTCCAATGTATGGACAGCTATGAGGTGCCACACCCAGTGCATTAGGGAATTTAAATTCAGAAGGAAGAAAGGAAGTCTAAACTCTCATGAGCTTGCAATTAATTAACCAATTATCTCATCAACCATCAAAGTAGAGAAATCTTTCACTCCTTTAACTTCAAAATATGGTATATTTGGCTTACATTGCTTCAATCTTCTCTATAATGCAATAACTCCATATCATGAATCCCATGTGATTTACTAAAGCAGGATGTGAGAAAATGGGTTGAATTTCTGACAACTAGTGAGATAAACCGCCTTCTTAGGATTGAGGTTTACTTTCTTTTCCATTCAACTGCTTTACATGATCCATGCTAACATTCCTAACTTGTTTCGTTATGAGAACCAGACATCTCCTCATTTAAGGATCAGTTATCAGGTAGTCACCCATGTTTTCCATTAACTTCTATTACTTTTTAAAGGGCTCTATTTAGGTTTAGGGATAAAGGTTAATCCATTAAGGTTTAAAAATGCATTGACATGAACAACTAGAATGTCTTTGATATCTAAATAGCACATCCATATGCACAACATGATGGAAGATGGCATCGGATGGTTCCATTCAATGATGCCATATCTTAAGCACGATAACTAGATTATCACGAAATGACCACATTACTTCCTAGACCAGATTGCCTTTAAAATCTTTTGGCTCAATGTTTAGGGTGTTTGGAATGCAATACGTTGTCCAATGTTTTCAATATCAAAAGCCCAACCAAAAAGAAGATTTATCTGACAATCACATTCAATGGAAGCCAATAACAATCATTTTTCCCACAACTTTGATGTAAGTCTCTCTTAGATATGAAGCAAGCACAAAACAAGGACTTTACTCATGGGTTTGGATCTGGAAAACTCACTTTACAACATGATTAGTCCAGTCAGACTATATTCCTACCTATTTTGATTGTAATATTCAAATACAAAAAATGAAATGCAACCAACATTCATCACCATTCCCAAAGCCTTTTCCCAACTAATTGGGGTCAGCTACACGAATCCTGGTCCAACATATTGTTCCAGCAAAATGCAACCAGCAATATTTACTGAAATAAGGGCACCACCCTTATCACCAAGAATTCCCCATTAAAAGTGAAACCATGCCCCATTAAAAGTGAAACCATCAGAGAAGTCTAAGTTTTTCTACAATTGTACTGTAATCAGGTGCACAATTCTCCCATTGATTAAGCTTCTTTATTTGTTCAATTTTTCATTAATTCATAAACATGAGTGCAGAACAAGGTCCACCAATATGGCGAACAATCCCAGTAACAATCTGAACAAACACACTAGAGTTCATGTGTGATCCAGTTAACCAGTTGTTCCACATAAAATATTGTTTCAAAGTTAATTGTTAAAAAACAGCCCATTATTTAGACCCAAAAACTTGAAAAGTTGGATAAGAAAAAATCAATTTATAACTTGCATTGTGCATGTAAGTGGAAGAGGATGATGGCCCGACAAAAGAAAGTGAAGCATTCTCACTCAACAAGGTAGCTTAATGCCCGGGAAAAGTCACCCACATCCAAGTGTAGCAAAAGTGTCCACCATACACTAGTACCACCTCCATTCTCTAGTATCATTATTAAATTGCTTACATTACATACTTTGTATTACTGTTTAGAACTAGGCTCCGGCCAAGTGGACTAGCCAAGTACCGTACAGGGCTAAGAAAGCCCTAAAAAATAAAAAGAATAAAAAAACTAAAACAAATAAAATAAAAATAGTGAAAATCAAACCAAACCAAAAACAACATACAAAGTCCGCCTAAGCAGAAAAATAATATACAAATTATGGATTTAGAAAAACTGATCTAGAGTTGGCAAACATTTGAGGAAAATACCCAAAAAAAAAAAATGGGGCATATGACAACAAAAACAACCAAATCATCAAGAACACCTAAACTACAAATTCTTATATATTTTTTCAATCACCCCGCGTTTTATCCGAGTGGTCGGCTCGGCACAGCAAAGGCCCGAGTCCAAGCACGGCATTGTAACAACATGGCTTCATATGCAGTAACACTATCTATACCCCATTAGCATCAAACAATAAAATAAGTCCAAAAAAGTTCATGCAACCTGTTAATTGTCTATGCTTAATACAAAGATACTCAATTCACTCAAACGAAAATAATCAACAAATTCATGAGATCCATTTCCTGTCATAAAAATCCGAAAAAGGAAAAGCGAATGTTTATTTCTAGTCAACAGAAACTGCGAAAAAAAAAATATCGCAAGATGGAAATCACATAAACAGTTAGTAAAAAAAAAAAGAGGAGATGGGGGTGGGTTAGCAACAAAATACCATGGTACGTGTGTTATTGCCTCCTCTGATATTCACGGATCCCTGAGAGCTCCCATTTTGGTTGCGGAAGGAGCGGACATCTGAGGGGGTGAAAGAGGGGTTTAGGTAAGGACCCAAACGCGACTCAACAGTGGAGAGCAGACCTTCCATTAGTTTTTCACCACTCGATGACAAGTGAGGGAACTTTAGCAGAGGCTCTTGTTGTGCCATTGAAGTACACTTTGCTGTTATTGTTGGTACAAAGGGTTTCAGAGGAGGAGGACTGGAGATGACGCTCAAATGCAACGGGACCATTTTCGCTTTCCCTCCCTCCCCTAAATTCTACTTCTACTTTCCTCTGAGCTCCCAAATATTATGAGTTTTTTTTTTTTTTTTCGTTTTTTTGAGAATTTTTCTAGAGGGATTTCTATATATCTGGACCGTCCATCTAGGAACGGACGATTGGGACGTGGGAATTGTGCTTTGGAGCTCCATTAACTAGTGAACTGGATATGTTTTACTCACTCTTGTTGCTGTACGAGTGTGACATTTGGCTACAACTTGACATCACTTGAAGAAATGCCCATCTCCTTAATTTTGATCTGCCTCTCTCGCGCTGAGACATTGGAAAGTGAGATTTAGAGGGGTAATCTGTATTTTCTTTTCTTTTTTTTTTAGAATTATAAAATCTCGAACTCAAGTTTCTTTATAACCTCCTTCCAATCAAATTTTTTTTTGCAAAGTAAAAAAATCATAATTTGGAAGACAAAAATATCATAAAAGGGTGGTGAAGGCTGGTATTGCTATCGGACCCAAACCCATACCACATTAATTGCTGGACCGCATGCAATTTATGCTAGACCGAGGCATCATAGCGCTGCACCAATAAAACTGCCAAATTGCATTTACAAGTGTCGAACCAAGGCATCATAAATTTTTTAATTAGAGATATTTGCCATAAAAGTTAGTTGTAAGGTAAAAGTTACGATAAAAAAATTGTTTCAAGAGAGGATGTAAAGAAAATTGAGTCAATAGGTGTTTTTGTAATTTTTGCATGAACTTTTCATAAATTTGAGATTTCCTACTCTTTGTGGGAGTGTACTACACCAAGAGTATCTTTTAGATGCCAAAATTTTGAAGATGTGATCTCTCGAACCGGACAACTAAACTC